GAAAAGAGAAAATGAAAAAGAAAAAGAGAAAGAGAAAGAGGAAGGGAGGGAGGAGAGAGAGAGAGAGTGAGAGGGAGAGAGAGAGAGAGTGAGAGAGAGTGAGAGAGAGTGAGAGAGAGAGAGAGAGAGAGAGAGAGAGAGAGAGAGAGAGAGAGAGAGAGAGAGAGAGAGAGAGAGAGAGAGAGAAAGGGAATAAGGGGAGAACCAAAAGCCAAAGAAACAAGAGGACGACGAAAAGAAGATAATTAAAGCAAGCAAGAAGAGGAAGAAGCGGCCGCAGGGATGACCACAGACGCCGTAGAGAGGGGGGATGAAGGGGGAGGGGGGTAAATAAAATCTCTCTACCGGATACTTAAGAGGGAGGAAGGGGAGGGAGGGAGGGAGGAGGAGAGGACGAAGAAGGTGAAGGGGAAGGGAGAGGGCGGAAGGGAAGGGAAAGGGTGGACGAAGAGGCGAAGGGGAGAGGGTGGAAGATGGAGGGGGTAGTGGAGAGAGTGGAATGTGTTGGGTGGAGAGTGGAGAAGGTGGAAGGGGATGAGTACGAACACTGGACTTAGCGAGGAAGGTGGAGGGTAGACGAGAGAGCGAGAGAGGGTGTGGAAGGGAAGAGGATGGAAGGAGAAAGTGGCACAGAACGGAGAACAAGAGGGAGAGTAAAGAGAGGGGGGAAGACGAGGGGATAGAAAAGAAAAGAAGAAGGGAAAGAGGACAGAGTGGACAGGAGACAGAACAGAAAGGGGAAGCGAAGGGAAGAGAAGCAAAGAGTAAGAGGAGAGACAAAGCAAATGAAAAAGAGACAGAGAAGAGAAAGGGGGATGGGGAAGAGAACGCAGAAGGGGGGCAATGGGGAAGAGGACGCAGACGAAGGGGGTGAGGGAGAGAGAGAGAGAGAGAGAAAGAGAGAGAGAAAGAGAGAGAGAGAGAGAGAGAGAGAGAGAGAGAGAGAGAGAGAGAGAGGGGGGGGGGTGAATGTGACATCAATTACCGAGGAGAGAGTTCTCGAGGGCTACAAGGGACATTTACCGACACACAGAACGGTTATTATTTGAGGGCCGAGGAAATATGAGCCCATTATGTCCTTAAAGGTCGAATTAATTAATGCGGCTGCCTATAATGTAACTGCTCGTATAACAAAAATAACTTAAAAGGCTGCATTTTAGGGGGAAACGTATTTAGAAAAAGAAAGATTCGCGTGTCCACACTAAGCTTTAGCTTTGACGAGAGAAAACTAATCGAAAATCTAAAAAAACAAAAAACAGTTGAAAGAAAAAAAGTTCGTGTTTGCGCATACTAAGCTTTAGACCTACGTAAAAAAAAATCGAAAATATATAATAAAAAACATATCCTTTAAGCAATTAATACCTAAAAAAACCCACAAATAACGAAAAGAAATTGTACCGAAACATTTTCTTAAAACAAACAAACATTTAAAAAAAACGCCCCTAAAAAAACGAAAAACCAAAAACACATTCTTTAAGCAATTAATATCTAAAATCAACACACCTACCGAAAAGAAATTGCGTCCGAAGCCCCGCCGAATTTCGCAAGGGCCGAAACAAAGGCCTCACTAAAACAACGCCGCGCAGACCGTCCCCCCATAAAAGGGCAAAATTGTATCATCTAAAAACGTCAGGAAATAAATGCGGCCACAGAGAGAGTTCCCGGATGACATATATAGGATCGAGCCATGTCCACTGGCCGGGAATCCTACCGGCGCGACGGCAAAGGATAAAAATATTTAAAAATAGCGGTGATATCCCTATAAAATAAACGAACGGGGAAAAGAGAAAATGGAGAATAAACAACACGGAGAACTATATAGAGGGATGGGGGTTGTGTTTATGTTTATACTACTCGCGTTTAACTTACGTTCATGTGCATACCTGGAGTAAGTGCATGCTTTTCGCTTCATTATGAAAGCAAGCAAAAAAAAAAAATATCGCCGTACAGTGGCGGAAAGCCCTGTCAAGTCCCCTTGCTTACCCCCCCCCTCTCCTTTTCCCTCTCCCCCTCCCTACCTCCCCCTTTCTCAGCACCTCCTCCCCTGCCCTGCCCCTGCCCCTGCCCTGCCCCTGCCCCTGCCCTGTCCCTCCCCCTCACCCCGATGACGTATGCGAACGAGCGGCCGCGAGCGAGTGCGGGAAACCTGTGACACCGACTATAATTTACGCGGTTTCGTCTTTCACTGTTGTTATTCTTTAGTATCTGTTGTTCCCTGTGCTTCATCGTTATCCCTCATCTCCCCCTCCTCCTTTCCTCCCTTAGATCCCTCCCCGTCCCCTCTCCCCTCCTCCCTTCCTCCCTTTCCCCCCCATCTCTTCCTACCCCTTCCCCTCCCCCTCCTCTCTTCTCCCTTTCTCCTTCCCTCTTCCACCCCTCCCCACCCCCTGCCCACGCCACCCCCTCCCCCCCAGCCCCTTTTGTGCTGGACTTGTTCCATTATGAGACGGCGCAAGCTACACTCTCTAAATCACAGGCCGACCCGCGCCCATGTTGACAATAATTACGGACTCATAAAACAACATCAGGGAGAGTTTTCCTTGTGCAGTGTGCTTTATTGATATTTCCAAAGCACGCAGGCTACCTACGCTGAAAAAAAATACGTATTCACACATCCGTATTTATAATGTCCTCTTTTGTGATTCTTGTCCCTGTTTCTGATTCTCATTCTCCCTAATCTGATTTGCTCCTGCTTCTGTTTCTCATTATCTCTACCTATTTTCCTTCCTGCTTCTCCGAGTGCTTCCCTCGCCCCCTCTGCCTGCCTGTCTGTCTGTCATTCTTTTACTCCCTTTACTCCCCTTCCCTAAGTCCTGTCTCTCTCCTCCTACTCCTCCCCCTCCCCTTTCCCTCCGCCTCTCACTCTCTGCCTATACCTACCTATTCCTCTCTCTTCCCCCCTCCTCCTCCTCCTCCTCCCTTCTCCTTTGCACACACGCCCTTCCGTGACGACGCGGACCCCAGGCTGAATAGGCCCCGATCCCTGAACGTGAGGCCTGAAAGGTGCCGCACGGAGAGACCATCGGCGCGGCGGCAGGTGACGACGACGATGCCTCCCTCCCGAGCATCACTCCCCTCTCCTTTATGTCCCCTTTTTATCCCTTCTTCGTCTCCCTGCTTCATTTGCTCTCTCTGTCTCTCTGTATGCCTCTTCCTCTGTCTGTCTATCTGTCTGCCTGTGTCTGTTTTACAAAATTTTGGTGTAAAATATATTTCCCTTTGGATATTTCTTGGTCTTCCCCATTTTTTCTCTCTCTTTCCCTCTCTCTCCAGCAACAATTGTCTATCTCTTCTTGACCTTCTCTACCTCCCGTCTCTCCATCTATCCCCACTACTGTCTGTCCATATCTTCTCTCCCATACCTCATATCTTCTTTCCATCTACCTCTAGCATCAATTATCAATCTCTCCTTACTCTACCCCACCGTTATCAACCTTCCCTTCTACCTCCAGCATCGGAAGTGACAACATCGAACAGAAAGGGGACACGCCCTACGGACAGCGATTCACGGACAGGCCTCGGGCACGGCAAAGCACACCCCGAGAGCAACGTACGTGCTTGCGGGGGGGAAACAAGCTCACGCTATGGGGGCCAGCTCTATGATGTACGATAACTGCAGGAAATGATGCAATGCCGCTCTATAGGGGTTACCTGTAATGACTCTGTTTATGGCACCACTGGGGAGGGGAGGGGGGGTTAAGGGGAGAGTCAGGTGTATAACGAGCGGGAGTTGAGGGTGGGGGGGGGGGGGAGTCAGGGACGTGAGAGAATAGGGGGGGGGAGGGTAAGGGACGAGCGTATGAATTCAGTATGTGTGCATAAATAAACGTTACTCATCAAAATAATCATCCACACAGCAATGGCACTATTAATAATCAACCCTGATCATAAGCACGCGCCATAAACATATTTTTTTTTCTACCACCTAATTTCATAAAAAAAACACAAATAGTGTACGGGCCCTGATGCCAATTTACGCACAGCACAGGACACTAGGAGCAGGCGACTTACCCAGCTGATCGCGGTCCACGGCTTTGGGGCAACACCGAAGAAGAGTCCCTCCAAGCCAAGCCAAGCCGTGGGGTTTGACAAGCCAGCTCAAACTCACGAAAAACTCAACGACCAATGTAAAGCTTTACCAATTCTCCTTCCCTCTGGTATCAGTATAAAAAAAAATGGAGTGACGTTATAAAACAGCGTTAACAGTAAATTGCTTTCAAACAACTCGAGGATTAGGAAGGAAAAATTGCAATTTTTTCTTAACCCTTGTTTGATTTAGGTTGAGGAAATTGAAACAGATAAATCTTCCAGTTTTCCCAAAACAAACTCCGGTAACAAAGAATACACATGAGGTTCCGTTGATCTCGTCTAACGGTCCTTGATTTAACGGCCTAAAGTATCACTCCACTATTTCCTTCACTTTATTTGCAATAACCATTACATTTAACGGTGTGTTAATACATCGCATCCATAACTAAATAAAACTAATGATGCTATATTATATCTACAAAAGATCACGATACAGACTTGCGTATCCATGTAGATGAAAGCAAGGATTAGCTTAACAGACATTACTATGCAAAAGAAAAGCATTGTGAAGGGGCCTATGTCATCTGCATCATGTGTATCATCTCCCGAACGAGATGAATCGCAGGAGGTAAAGAGGCGAGGGAGATCTCCGATGGGACGTGACTGAAACCCAACACGTGGACCCACAGTTTCCGAGGGCCTCCGGACGTGACCCTATATCCGAACAGAAGGATGGACACGTAGCGCACCCTTTGCCTCGTTGCCACAGAAGCCCAGGTCACAATGGCAAACAGGGGCAAAGAACTCCTCTTACGAAGTACTACTACTACTACTACTACTACTACTAGTACTACTAATAATAACAACAATAAAACAAACAGATGAAAGGAAATCCGGTGAAAAAAAAAATCTTGCTTTCTCGAACTTCCTTTTTTCACAATAACAGAAGCGAATAATTACATAACACTCACCGCTTTTTTAACGAAGGAAACGAATCCGTAACCCTTGGACTTGAGGGTGTGTGGGTCGCGAACCACACGACAGTCTCTGTGGAAAGAAAGAATAAGGGTCAATACTGCTAATCGTCGTGGGCGTTTCCTAGGCTCTTAATGCCCGAAAACAGAAGCTGTGTAAGGGATTTAGTGATGACTAAAATGATGTTCTCCCGAAGGATGGTGAGAAATGGTGAAGGACGGTGAGCAGGGAGGGCGAAAAGAGGGGATCTCAACGTCGCTTGTGTTAGAGCTGGATAATTAAATTTCGTGTGTTATTTGCCTCCCCCATAAAGATTAACCAAGAATGTATACAGCCGATGGAAGAAAAGAGTTTGACGTTTGATAAGTCTTGATAAAGAAATAGAGCAAGGGAATTAATGATGTGTTTACCCGTTAGATATGGTGATGACAAAGAGTGATTATAGGATATAATTGTGATGCCAGTTATGATAAAAATGACATAAAATGAAATACGAAAAAACAACCTTTTCGGCTACATTTAGATATAAAGGCAATACACTATTACTTCTCCATTTCCAAGTGGACTTAGGTAGACAAGGAAAAGAAAGAGAAAGAGCGAAATCAAACCTGGTTCAATAACAGGCATTTTAATATTATAATCCCGCATCAATATTCTCTTTCAGTACCAGCCAGGCATTGTATTGGCAATAGGCTACCAAAGCGAGCGAGCAAGAGGAAGAAAGAAGGAAGGAGGGAGAGGGAGAGGGAGGGGAAGGGTGAGGGAAAGGAAAAGGAAACGGAAAAGAGAAAGGGAGGGAGGGAGGGAGGGAGGGAGGGAGGGAGGGAAGGAGGAGGGAGGAGAGAGGGGGGCGGGGAGGGGGCAGTTAACGACATAAAAGAGAGAAGAGAGAAGCGAGAAGAGAGAGAGAAGAGAAGCAAAGGGACGAGAAGAGAGAGAGAGGTACAATGTTGCCAGCTTTCTTCTTTCATTCCTTCCTTCCTTCCTCTTTTCCCTCCCTCTCTCCCTCCCCAAAGTCCCCAAGGCCCCCTCCAGCCGCCCCTCCCTCGCCCTATCCTACCCATATCCTATTCCTATCTTTAATCCCCCCCTCTATCCCCGACACACGCCGATTGATGAAATACTTACTGGCGCATGAAGCCTGGAATGTCACCCACAAATGGAATTAGAATGAAGCAGTGTTTGGCTTCACGCAGTTTTACCCTCGACGATCACCTCCTCCCTCCCCCCCCTCTCTCTCTCTCAGTCCCTCCCCTTCGTCCTTCCTGCTCTCTCTCTCTCTCTCTCTCTCGCTCTCTCGTTCTCTTGTTCTCTCGCTCTCTCACTCTCTCACTCTCTCACTCTCTCGCTCTCTCGCTCTCTCTCTCTCTCCTTTGTTCCTTCCTTCTCTCCCTCTCTCTCTCTCTTCCCTCTCCCTCCCCTCCCCCTTCTTTCCCACGCCGGCCTCGATCACGGAGCAACTTTTGTTTATTCCTCTTTCCCTCTTTTTCCACAAAAGCCCGAGTGCTTAATGAGACCCCCCCCCCCCACCGCCCCTTATCTTTACTATTACGCGAAGCCGAACCGCGGCACGGATTATGCCCCCTGCGCTATTTACTGATAGTAGTAAACGTAGCGAGATTTGCGTCGATAGTCCCGTTTAAATATAAACAAAGACAAGCCCGGAATGGGATCAAGAACCACCGACTGAGACTATCGGATTCCATTCCGGCCGGGCGTTACGTGCTGCATTTGAATACAAGATCGCCGCGGATATTTATCACCTCCCGTTCCCGGTGCATATAAATACCTGCATTTCCTTCCATACCTCATACGTGAGTGCGCGCTTGTGGTTGAGGGCGCGCGCGTGAGGATGCATGCATTTGTGTGTATGTATCTATGTGCTGTGGATACGGTTGGCTACGTGTTTCTGCTCGCATGCCAATGAATACTGTGCAGTAAGTTCGTATATTAGTCTATCCGTCTATCTATCTATCCAAATAACGTTATCTATCTATCTATCTATCATATATATATATATATATATATATATATATATATATATATATATATATATATATATATATATATATATATATAGAGAGAGAGAGAGAGAGAGAGATAGACAGATAGATAGATGATTAGATAGACACAAGGAGAGAAACACTTCAAACTCTCCCTCTCTCTCTAACCCCCAAAGCACACTTCCCCAATCAATCAACTAATCAACCAAACACCCAACCAATCACCCACACTACCACACCGCCAAAAAAAAAAAAAAAAACACCCCCGCCACACGAACAAAATCGACCTTAAACGCCAACCAATTCCACGTGTGGATGGAGCCGGATCGGCAATCCGGCGCTCGGGGCCTCCGCATCTCGCCTCGCGCTCCAGGAGGAGGAGGAGGAGGAGGAGGAGGAGAAGGAGGAGGAGAAAGAGGAGGAGGAGGAGGAGGGGGAGCGGAGGACGTCGTCGCTCCAGATCTAAGTCTGCCGTTGCGCGGACGGTCGCTGGGGCAGGAGTTTCTTTTTTTCGATTTGTTTTTAGTTTTTTTTATTTATCTATTTATATACGTTTTTGAATGTTCTGTGTTTTAAGTCTTTTTTATTTTCAATTTTTTTACGTTTTTTTTTTCTATGATTTTTGTATTTTTTACGTTTTTTTCGGGGGAGATGGGGGCGATTCTTTTTTTTTGAGGGCGAGTAGGGGGGGAGGGGCTGAGGGGGAGGGGCTGAGGGGGAGGGGCTGAGGGGGAGGGGCTGAGGGGGAGAGGGTTGGGGTTCCGGGTGAATAAGGTGCGTGTAAAAGTCTCCTTGTGAGATATCTTATGGTTTATTTATTCATTTGGGTTTGTGTGTTCGGACAGACAGTTTTTTTTCTGTTTTCTTTTTCACTTGTTTTTTTAAAGTCCTGGATGAGTGTACTTCCTTTCTTCGGACTCAATTTTTTTTCAAGAACGTAACATGAACCCTTATTATCACTTGTGGGGCAACTCATACATACATACACACATATATACATACATACACATATGAACTACCCATGCGCACACCCCTTCCCCCACAGGTAAACACACGCACACTTGACAAATATGAAATGAATTAAACCCTCTCCTATTTCAATATACGTGAGGGGACACATGCACACATTGCCTAATCTCTTAACTCTTACTGGACTCATCTTAATAAAACACCATAAAACACTAATATTCCCACTTTAGAATCACTCCTCTTATCCCAAAAAGTATTACAATCACAAACAATTGGATCTCACACACACACACAAAAAAAAAACAACACACAAAAAAACAATAGTCCTACACGCTATGTTAAGTCTCGAGAACGACCCACCGCCCACCGTCAGCGCCCACCGCCAAAGTGGCGACCACGACTCAACTCCCGCCTATACCCTCGGCTTCGTTAAACCTACAAACATCCCTACAAAGATTAAATCGCCACTTCCACCTCCCTCCCATCAGTGTTAAACCTTCCCCTACTGTAAAACCACCAGTGTTTGACTTCCCGTTCCAACAGCCTCTATAATTACCCTATAAAACCGCCCATCTGCCACTCAACTGCCCATTTTTTCCCATCCCCCGAACCTTTTAATCTCTTCCGTTGCCTCCTGCTCCGCCATCGCCGCCTCCTGCAATAACTTTTCACTTCTTCCCACTTGTCTCCTCCTCGACGATCTCTCTCTCTCTCTCTCTCTCTCTCTCTCTCTCTCTCTCTCTCTCTCTCTATCGTTCTTCCCTGACAGATGAGGATAAATGTGAATGTGTGTGGACCTATTTGTCATTCTACCTATTTGTATATATCTGTTTGTCTATCTCTATCTATCTCTCATCTACCTACCTATATATCAATCTATCTGTCTGTTAACTATCCATCTATCTATTTATCTATGGGGTTATCTCCATACGCTTTTCTTTTTTTTCCCACTGTTTCAGGTCAAGTTTCTCCTGCATTCTCCCCTCCCTGCCCCCTCCCCCTCACCACCCCCTGCCTAGCGCCGTCCCCCTTCCCTTCCTTCCCCTGCACCCGAGCGCAGCCTACCCTGCCACCACCTTCCAGCATCAATCTTCCCTGCCACCAGCTTACCATCACTCTTCTGAGCCACCGGGTATATCTCCCGAGCCTCACGCGACCAAACGGTTCGAAATTCCCCTCTCTTCCCCGCCGTGTTTCCCCAACCTCCCTCGGCAACCCGGCAGGCACAAGGGAGGGAAGGGAAGAGGGGGAGGAGAGGATGGGAAGAGGGGGAGGAGGGGAAGGGAAGAGGGGGAGGAGAGGATGGGAAGAGGGGGAGGAGGGGAAGGGAAGAGGGGGAGGAGAGGATGGGAAGAGGGGGAGGAGGGGAAGGGAAGAGGGGGAGGAGGGGGAGGAGGGGAAGAGGGGGAAGAGGAGGAGGAGGAGGAAGAGGATGAAAGACATGTATAATAAAGACCCACATTTTGATTTTATGAGGCTCAAAATATTACATGTTGGGGAATATAAGGTGGGGGAGAGGGAGAAGGGGGAGAAGGGAGGGGGGAAAGGAGAGAGGGAATGAGGAGGGAGGGGAAGGGATACCCGGTGGGTCTGGCCTACCCCCTTATAGATTAACTCCAACGATACGCCACGACATTTGACGGACGCTCTGCCCATGAATATAGAATGCTACTTTAGCGGGGGCCAAGTGGAGCGCTAACAGCCTCGCCGGTAACAGTAGCACACGTGGACGCCTCTGGAGAGCCATGATTAAGTAATAACCAAAGCAGAAATCCTCCAGGTAAAAAGGAAGAAGAAAGAGAGAAAAAAAAGAGAGAGAAAAAAAATGCAGAGTTGTTTACTTATCTTTGGCAAGTAGATCGATCGAATAAATAACAAACACAGAGTAGTGATTTCCTCTGATCTATTTTCTCTGACTTTATCCCTCCCTCTTTTCTCTCGTCTTCAAACTACATTTCCTTCCATATCTTCCCTTTAATATTGTAGCACTCGTATATACTCCCCCTCCCCCATCACCACATTTTTTTTCCTCAAATCACAACCTATTCAGTGCCCCCATACAACTTCTAGCTCCCTTCCCCTCTCCAATCCCCTTCCTTC